TTTTATTTTGTGTGGGGCCCGTCTTATTGTTACCTGCAACTGCAACCTCTATCTCTCATCTCTCATTATGTCAACCTGTCCTTCTAATTCTTCACCCAAGGGTTACCCTAATCCACTATGGCACCGAACTATACCTTTTAGCTTGGGTTATACTCCCTCCGTCCCTGAATTATCTTCAAACTTTCCTTTTCGGTCCGTCCCAATATTATCTCCTATTTTCCTATTTTAGCAACTTTTACCATATCATTTTACCCTAATACCCTTACCATCTTTATTACATCTACCCACAATTAATATCCCCACATTTTCAACCACACACCCAAACCGCCCATTATTACTCCGTAAACGCTCCCATTCCAACACCCAATTACTCCTCTCTCTCTTCTGCCGGTTTGTATTCATCTCTCTCGTCTCTTCCTGAAGCTTCCTTCTCTCTCGCCTCTCCCATTCCAACACCCAATTCCATTTACTTCTTCATTTTTTGCACCCTCTTTTGATAAGGCCTCCCACCGATACCAATTTTAGGTTTTGTAGATCCAATAATGGCCAAAAACGAGCCATTGAAGGTCATGCATGCCGATGCGGTGGTTGAAGACTCAATCGATGCCTTCAGTTGGCCCGACGTCCCTGATTCTGAAGATCAGAATCAGTCACCTAGGGTTGAAGACAACATCGAAGGAGGGTGGAATGCTGATGGCGAGAAGAGAGGTTTACAACAGGGATTGGGCCCTAAGACTGTTCCATCTGTCGTTGATGAATTTATTGCCATTTACCTAAGTCCAGTGGATGCCTTGACTTGGCCCGACGTCCCTGATTCTGAAGATCAGAATCAGTCACCTAGGGTTGAAGACAACATCGAAGAAGGGTGGAATGCTGATGGCGAGAAGAGAGGTTTACAACGGGGATTGGTCCGTAAGACTGTTCCATCTGTCTTTGATGAATTTCTTGCTGCATGGCTACCTGTCCCTAAAAAACCGAGGTTGTAGATCTTTACTTATTCTTGTTTGTGATGATGACTATCTGATGCCTTCATGTTTGGACTTGTACCAATTTGTGTGTGGTTAGTTTGCTATGTGTGTGCCTAAGTCTTGAAGTGTTTAAGCCACAAAGGTTAATCCTTTGTTGGCTTAAGCCTCTGTTCTTTCTGTGATGATATAGCATCTTGTCTAAGGATATGATGTGTTTGCTGTGGGTTAGACCATCTTCCAGGATTCTGTGATGATAAGATGCATAGTCTGAGAATCCTATAAGCCATCTTCTAGGATTCAGTGATGCTAAAATGCATAGTCTGAGAATCCTATAAGCCATCTTCTAGGAATCTGTGATGCTAAAATGCATAGTCTGACTATCTGATGCCTTCATGTTTGGACTTGTACCAATTTGTGTGTGGTTAGTTTGCTATGTGTGTGCCTAAGTCTTGAAGTATCTCTTGGACTTGCAAGTCCTGTGAGGCTCCTCTTCCCCTGGAAGAAGGTAGTACCTCTGTGAACTTTTGGTCATATAAAACCATTTTTCATCTACATGCACATAATTGAACATTGGCTCATATAGGGGCTGTGTTAGTAATGAGGATCTCTGTATGTGTGAGATTACCCATTGAAGCCTATTTATCATATTGGAGTCAGTGAGAAATGGTTTGATAGCATTTGTGTGTGCTTTCAGTTCACCTTTTTGGATGAGTCTGTGCACATTGCTTTTGGGGTACCCTAAGGCAGTTGCTAGGCTCCTTATACTCTTTCTTTTGTCAAGATCTATGTCCTTGACTTGAGCAAGAGATAGAATCCGTGGTTTTCTTCCTACCTTGCCAGCCATCTGTCTGTCCACGTTAATAGGTACACCTTCCATCTCACATTTCATTGCTTTCTCCCAAATGAATGAGATACACCTTTCTGACACGTTATATTTCTGTGCTATTGCAGTTCGTACGCCTCTATGCAGCTTTCCATTTTGAGAGTTCTGAAGAAGTTCCCCCAATATGAGCTGTCTAACTTCATTAGACAGTCTTCTTTTTTTCTGAACACTTTCTGTATTTTCCATGTTGTTGTCCTCTTTCCAGATTGCCCATTGTGGTTCGTATATGTAGACAGCAAAGCTGCCAACTTTATTTCATTTTTGGAGGGATTAGGTTTTTTTTGGACTAACTCCCGCCAATTATTATGGAGGCAAAAAGTCAACTTTTTCTTCTTTTGTTTGTGCGCAGTACGGGAATAAAGGGGAAGGGGGAAAATGGCCTTAGCTGGCTGTTGGGTACTGTTTAGTACCCTAAGAGGGGCAGTAAATAAATAAAGGGGCAGTAGTGTCAATGACTAGCCAAAAAGTGCTTTTTCTTAAATGTTGTGCCCGGCCGAATAGGGAGAAAAATCAGGGACGGAGGGAGTAGTCCGTATCAAATTTCACGTGAAAACCTCGTATTTAGAGTTCATAGCTCTCCCAGTGCGAAGAGCCTACTAAGCCTTTGAAAACCCCTAAAAATGTACTCCTTCCTTTCTATACGGGAGTATAGCCATTGACACAAGATTTAAGAAGGAATTAATAGGGGTAGGATAAAAGGTGTAGTGAGTTGTGTGTAAAGCTAAAAGTAGGAAAGAGAATGAGGGTAAATGAGTATATTTATTGAAAAAACTTACTAAAAGTAGGAAGGGAGACAACTAATAGAGAACATCCCAAAATGGAAAGAAGGCCATGTATTAGAGAAAGGAGGGAGTAACTTTTTTTTAGTTCTCACTAGTGGGTATACAAACTTTTTATTTTTTTTTCTTTTGTTTTTAAAAAAAGGTAATAACTTTTTTATTTTTGATCTGATTTTTTATAAAATTTATATCAACATTTTTTATTTTTTATGACCTTTCAAATGAGACCAATATTGCTTATGTAATTTTAAGAAATTATCGAACTATCATATTAATGAGTATCGGATTATAAGGAAAATCGAACTAAATTTAATACATAAAAATAATTGTGTAAATCACAATTTATCTTAAAATTGTGCATATAAAAAATTTATTGTAATATGTGAGTTACATATTTTTATGCGTAAGGTTACATATTTTTACACGTAAAGTTACATATATATAGACACGAGTTGCATTTGGCCTGCCTGAACGCGAGTTACATATTTTTACACGTAAAGTTACATATTTTTACACGTAAAGTTACATATTTATACACGTAAAGTTACATATTTTTACACATAAAGTTACATATTTATACACGCGAGTTACATATTTATACACACGAGTTGTATTTGACCTGTCTGAACGCGAGTTACATATTTTTACACGTAAAGTTACATATTTTTACACGTGGAGTAACATATTTATACACACGCGTTGCATTTGGCCTGACTGGACGTGAGTTACATATTTCTACACGTAAAATTACATATTTTACATATGTTAATATAATAGTTCGATAATATGTTAAAATTACATAGGCAATATTGGTCTCATTTGAAAGATTATGAAAAATAAAAAATGTTGATATAAATTTTATAAAAATGGGATCAAAATAAAAAAGTTAATACCATTTTTTAAAAAAGAAAAGTAAAAAAATAATAAAACCGTATGCCGGTATATGATGCTCACCGTATACCGGTCATAGGGTATAACAACTGCCCCAGATGGTACTTACATTAAATGTATGCATCTCAATTAACTATAAATAATTGACATAATGAGAGATGAGAGATACGTCTCAAGATGGGGTTTTTTAAAACCCCATTATGTCAACCCCGTTTTAAATAAATCATGCGGAGTAGCATAAATAAAAAAGTTATACCACTTTAAATAAAACGGGGTTTTTTATTTTGTGTGGGTCCCGTCTTATTCTTACTTGCGACTTACATAGTCACACTAGAAACACTGCTAATTGCATGCAGCACAATAACATTTTGACCCAAGAAAAGATTCATTCCTCGTAATAGATTGAGAGAGAACATTCTACTTCTCATATCTAGATGAATCATACAGTTATTGGCCAATGCAAAGATATATTCGTTTTGGATATTAAATATGATCGTTATGGATCATTTAGAAAGATTAATATACATAGACTAAGTTATTGAAATAAACACAATATCATGTTCTAGACTTGGTTGAATGTTCATTGAATGAAAGGACCGTATCACTATGAGCTCTACATTACAGGGTGTTTGAATAGTCTTCGCAAACGTCCTTATATATTAAGTTTGTCTCGAGAATCGTCTAGGAAATTGTTAAGACCTTAATTTGATTAATGCTTAATATATAAGGACCTATTGGTCACACAACAAGTGATTATACCTTTCAATTGAATTGTTAAAAGGAATTAAATATTAATTGGATTAAATAATATTTACTCCCTCCGTCCCCTTTTAAATATCCCGGAAGAAAGTGACACGAGTTTTAAGAAAAGTAGGTTTGTGTGGTTGATATTAATAGATAAAGTAAGAATGATTTTGAGCCACACAAACTTTACCAAATAAGGTATGAGAAAATTAAATAGGGACATCCCAATATGGTAAAATGGGACATTTAAAAGGGGAAGGAGGGAGTAATTTGTAATGCTGAAAAATGGATTAAAGATTAGTTAGATTAAACTACATTTAATTCATGATGTTGATGGAGAGTTCTATTTGATAGAATTAATTAAGTAAGATAAATTAGATTTTTTATACTTAATTAATTAAGATGTATTTATTTATTATTAAATAAATTGATATTTTCTTTTAATTTGGAATTAAAAGGGAAAAGGAAAAATAAATAATAATGGGGATGGAGAGAGTGGTGTGGCCCTCTTCCTCCCTTGTTATTATTTTATTTTATTTTTATCTACCTGTTTATTTAATTAATGATAATTACTGGTTCTGGTAGGACTAGAACTAATTAATGAGAAAATTTTTCATTGTGATTGAGAAACTGATTTAGAACTAGTATAAATACACTATGCTCCTTCATAATTGTGTGACTAGTTTTCTAGATTCAGTATTAACAGTTTATTTCTCTGCGAAGAGATTTCCTAGCTTTCTCTATGGGAGATCTAGCCATTCTTTCGGAAAGGAGAAATAATGTGGATACCCTAAGGTCAAGGATTATCATCGCTAGGCTGGAAGATTTGTAAGTTCTAACTCAGCTCAGACATGTTATTATTGTTATATTCGTTGTTTTGTCATAATCAGGGAAGATCCGTTTAGGAAAATTTTAAACTTCCACTGTTATACTTTCGAGGTACATTACATCAATTTCCTAACAAAGTGTTCTTGTGAGCTTTTGTATAACAAGCATCCTCTTGTGATCAACTTCGAGTTTTTGGTTGTCTAAGTTATGCTCATTCTAAAGATAAATCTGGTGACAAATTTGCCCCACAAGGAATTAAGTGTGTGTTTCTAGGGTACGCCTATTCACAAAAGGGTTGGATAGTGTTTGATTTACAAAACGGTCATCATTTTGTTTCATGTGATGCTCGTTATATTGAGACTTCTTTTCCATGTAAGGGACAAGATCCGCCTTCTGGTTATGAAAATCTCACTCTACCTCGTGATGGTGCTCATAATCAAGACTATCTTGCCTGAATATGTACTTCTCATATGGATGGTTACCAGTGGACATGTTGGATGCTAATCCTCAACGTGTCAATCAGCCTAGCGTCTTGACACCCCATCATGCAAGTCATGCAAGTGATGAGCAACAATCATCAGAAGCATCGTCACCGCAAATCATTCCAATTGATTCTGAGACATCACAATCAATTGTCTTTGAACAACCAGACGCTTCTTCAACACCACCCGCACGACATGGCGCGTGCCAGGGAAAGCCCTCTGACTTGGCATCGTGATTATGATGTACAATTAAATACTGTGAAAATAAATTCTCCACCCGTTGTTCACTCTTCTCCATCGGTTGACTCAGGTAACTCGTATTCCTAATCTCATTATGTAAATTATATATAATCGTTTTTTAGTGCCACATCGTGCATTTTTGGGCAGTGCCGATCCTAACTAAACTCGGACCTGAGGCGACCATCGTAAATGGGCCCTATACATAGTATTAATGTTTCCAACCTAACTTTGAATTAAAGATTCAATACGTGATTTCCGTTTCCTCTTTTGAGATCCAGACAAATGTTTGGGAGGCATGGATCTAAAAAATAAAAAATACATACTCTAGTGGTATCCTTAAAAATATATATTAGTAATTTTTCTCTAAAAATACAAAGCATATAATATTATAATTTAACTAATTGTAAATAGAGAATTCCATAATTGCAATATTGATAAATGATAACCCTAAATAAAAAAATAAGCAAAGAATGAACTAATATATACAAATAAGCAAGATTCTATAACTATAGTCGGTAGAAGATTAAAGAGTTAAAGCTAGATCTGTTGAAGGAATTCAAGGGAAAAAAATGTTACCTGCACTAGTGCGATTGTGCATTTGTGCGAAGCCAGAAATGCCCAGAATCACTTCTCTCAACCAGAGTGTAGTCAAGTAGAGAACAGGCTGAGCAGCTGAACTGAGAAGGCCAGCAAGGACTCCCGACATGGATGTTCTCCAATCCTCCTTCAGTCCTTCGCTCGTGAGTCCATGACCGCTTCGCCTCTTCGCTAGTTCGCTTCAATTCCTAATTTCTCGTCTGTTGGTATCTTTCGTAAACGGCAAATCGTAGGGGCAGGTTGGTTTAATTGGGAGGGGTCTACTAATTAGATACTCCCTCCGTCCCATATTTAACTCTGGTTTTGACCAGACACAGGTTTTAAGATAGTGAGATTTGTGTGGTAGAGAGTTATGCAGAGGAGAGAGAAATGTGTAAGAATGGTTGTGAACCACATATTCTTTACCAAAAAAGGAAAAAGGAAATAAATTTGGGACGGACCGAAAAGGAAATTATGAATATAATTCCGGGACGGAGGGAGTATAAAATACATATATGTGTAATACTAATTTTTGAAAAAAATGGACCCTTAATTTTTCAGATTTTTTGGGGCCCTGAGGCTTGGGCCTCTCCAGCCTTACATAAGGCACATGCATGTTTTTGGGGATCCATTTGAGCTTCCAAGGAACCATCCACTTTCCGTGAAGCCATATATGACCCACGGTGGAGAGAGGCAATGCAACGTGAAATCCAGGCTCTTGAGAAAACCGGTAGGCTGACTCTCCAGTCATTGTCTCCGGGAAAAGGAGCTATATATTGCAAATGGATGTTTAAAATTAAATATAAAAGTGACGGGACTATCAAACGTTATAAGGCCCACTTAGTTGTGTGTGTGAATAAGCAGGTGCAGGGCATTGACCTCACTGAAACCTTTTCACCAGTTGCCAAAATGGTGACTTTTCGTACCATTTCACATGGCCGCCACCCGTCATTGGGAGTTGCATCAAATGGATGTGGACAATGCCTTCTTACATGAGGATCTTCGTGAGGAAGTACATATGCATTTACCAGCAGGCTATTCCACATCTACTCCTGGTCATGTATGTCATTTATCTAGATCACTCTTTGGCCTTCGTCAAGCGCCACATTGTTGGATTTCTAAACTCACCATTGTTTTTGAAATCTTACGGCTTTCGTAAGTCACGAACCAACTACTCCTTGTTTACCCTTTAGAGGAATAATCACATTTTGTGTGTTTTGATCTATGTTGATGATCTTCTTTTGACGGGAATTAATAACGAAATGATAGTGGAATTTAAAGCTTCTTTGGCTTGTTTGTTTCCGATTAAGGATTTGGGTGTTATGAAATATTTTCTTGGGATTGAAGTAGCTCCCAATCCTACTGGAACTTTCTTATGTCAACAGAAGTATTTTCTTATGTCAACTTTATAATTGTGTCATCATTTTTTCAAAGGAGGCCCACACCATGGATCAATTTGGCTCTGATATCATGTTAAGACCTGAGGTTCCATCCTAAAAGGTCAACCTGATAGGAGGAGTCCAAATCTTGATATAGTGTTTAATTGCTTTTAAGATATACAGTGTAGGACAATAACACCCCTCCTCACGAACAGACACTTTGTCTGAATCGTATCATCATTCATTTTTTCCTCAGTTCGTCATTGTCAATTTTTTATATAATTGTGTCGTCATTTTTTCAAAGGGGTCCCACACTGTGGATCGATTTGGCTCTGATACCATATTTAAGACCCGGGGTTCCATCCTAAAAGATCAACCTGATAGAAAGAAGAGTCTACATCTTAATATAGTGTTCAATTTCTTTAAAGATATTCGGTGTGGGACAATAACAAATATTTAGTTTATATATTGTGTATATGTGTATACAAGGAATACGGCTCGAAGTGCAAAAAAAACTTCAATTTTCCAAGACTTCTCTGATGTCGGAAATTAGAAATGCACTTTCTAAGAGCCACTTGTCTTCTCAATCTGCCGGATGAGAGAGATACCATAAGCGTGTGTTTAATTAATGTCCTTTTCGATTACACCTTGCAAAAAATGGTGACATGAAAATGATAAAAATATTTTGGAACTTTTTAAATTAATTGATCAATCTTCCGATCCGTATATTAATATGGCCATTTTTCCTATAAATCAACAAATTAAAGGGATGTTAAAAATTCTATTTTTCTTTTGAGTATTACATAGAACTGTAATATTTTGCTTGTATTGCGTACCACTTTAAATCCCTTCAACAAATACGATAACTTTGTGAAAATGACAATCCCACTATTTTTTCCATCTATAGTTTGAGAAGTAGAAGCGGTCTCTGCCTTGCAAATTAGCAAAGGTACCGTAGAATGTTCCTACAAATTATAAGGAATAATATTTCGTCAAAGTTATATTTATGATTTCTCTTTAGCCTTAGCCCTAGCCCTGAACAAGTTGTCCTAGAAAATTTTGAGATTGGATGCCGCGCCCTCTTTTTTGTACCTAGCATCTAGAATCACCTACATGACAAAATAGCCAATTCAACAATTATCTATTCAACCTAACCAATTCATTATTGAACATACCCCACCATTATTTTCTATTTTTCGAACTTCTAGGTAACCTCATCGCAATTAACCTCACCAAAGGATATGCATTTTAATAGTGAGCATGATTTTCGAGAACTTGACTGCCTTATAATTTTTCCGTAGCCTTTATGGCCCCATGAGCTCCCGAAGGAATTCTTCACCAACCAGTAGTGAGTTCCATGTTCTGTTGTGCCATAGCCAACTATTAGAATGACATACCTTACAAGTTTCTCTAGAGTAGGGAGCAGATGTTTCCACTGTTTCCCTTTTCCCTTTTGGAGGGCCTTTTTTTTTCTCGGGCAACTCATATTGTTAAGATTCGAGATTCCATCCTAAAAGGTCAACCTGATATGAGGAGTAGCCCAAAGCCTTAAATAGTGCTTAATTATTTTATAGCTTTCCGGTGTGGGACAAATACTTTAACACAATCCTTCAGCCCGAACCGGGCTGGATAAAATCGGGGTGTATAAATGGGCCAAACGCCCCCCTTAACAAGTCACTCATAATCATGGGTGCTAAACAAGCAGTCAAACCACAACCCGAATTGGCTCTGATACCCTGTTAAGACCAGTGGTTTCATCCTAAAAGGTCAACCTGATAGGAGATGTAGCCCAAAACCTTATATATTGTTTAATTATTTTATAGCTTTCCGGTGTGAGACATATACTTTTAACAGATATCATTCGTACATCACGCCCTATGAAATAGCAACAAAAAAAGTAATACTCTGATGTGGTCGATATAAAGAAAGAAATGGTACGCCTAAACTAGTGAATAATTATAACTAAAATATAACTTCTATAGATATATACTAGTACGGAGTATATATTTACTACAGATGTACTCCAGATATTTAGAAGGGGCAATACATTCTTTCTCCATGAGTAAGTTTGCTAACAAAACAAATTAAAGGCTATTGTGAAATTCCAAGTGAAAAAGGGCCTTTCAATGGGTGTTGGGGTGTTGCGATTGGTAATGTGGCAACAATGAAAGCATACCGGGGGACATACTTAGAAAATAAAATGTAAAAAATGTATGTATAGAATTAATGTAATAATCTATACTCCGTAATATGTATATTGTACGGAGTATTATATATAGGGGAATGTTCAAATACAAAGAGATTTTCTAATGCAAAGTGAGAATACATCTTTTGCATTCATTTCCACATCTAATGGCTCAAAGTGAGCCAAAATGCACTAAATTTGATAAAAAAACAAGGTGATATTTTGTAAATAAACCGAAGGTTTTTACCACTGCAAAAAAGTGCAACAGAAAAATGCAATAGTGCAACATGATGAGGAAGAAATGTAATTGTTCATAGTTTGCACGAGAACACCTATTTTTATTTGAACTCTCTCCTACACATAAATGCTCACGTCTGCAAATTCGGATAGCATTCCGTCTGATCTTTTTCAAAACTAACGCTTAACACTTGAAAGTTAATAATAGCATTCTCCTCTACTCCTTTTCACCACATTACAAGTTCTTCAAGGAGTGGGGGATTGGAGGACCCGTCCGAGAAAAATCACAAAATGTTAAACTTTCCCCAAAACATCAACATAATCCTCTAAGTCCAAAAATGTGGGGGACTGAGGGATTGCCCTCGGCAGAACATGCAAACGCAAAACTCCTCAGTACTTTACAAACCACAACAAGACAGCATTAGAGGACAAACACAACTACTCATTTTCCCTCAAATACCTTTCGCCAAAAGGAGTGAGGGACTCCTGATCGAGTATATGGCCCAGGAACCCCTGACCCACAGACTCCCGCTACTCTAACACAAGCCCAACAAGCTCAGGAAGCATAACGAGCCCAAATCACAGCGCCCCAAATATCAAGGAGCCCACATTGCACATATGAACGCCTTCGGCCCCTAGGCCGAAGGCTGCCGAAGACTCGAAATCCCACAGGACAGCTGGTTTTGGACATACGAAGCTACTGGGAGAAAACCCCGAAATCAATAGCCTTCGTCACTTAGAGCCTCGCCAACAAGAGGCAGTGCCTTTGAGGAGTGGAATACCAGTAAATGGCGCAGCGGAGATACTGCATCTGGACAGACGGGTACAATCTTCTTTGCCGCTGCTACATCTTCAATTTCAACTTTTCTGCCCCTCCCTTTGCAAACCGCAGTACCGTCCCTCTTTCTCATAAAATCCATCGGAGAAACTGAATTGGAATGAAAGGCGTGGTTAGAAACCCAGGAGACACGGCGGTGTTCAAGACCAGCACGTGGTTAATCAGCATTAGGGTTTTGAAAGGCAAAATTGGGTCAGTAAAAGAACTGCACTAATCAATTTAGTATACTAATTAGTTTACTGTGTATATTAACTACGATTTAGTATCTAGACAGTGCCAAACAGTGTCCAAACAGTGCCAAACAGTGCACTCCACAGTAAAGTCAAATTCATTTTCTTAATATGTGTGAAGTCAAACTGGAAACTTAAATAAGAACCGGGGGAGTACTAACTCGTATTAACTACTCCCTCCGTCCCTTATAACTTTTCCAACTTTTCTTTTTTGGTTGTCCCAAAAACTTTGCCACTTTCTCTTTAAATCAATCAATTTGTGGCTCTTGTTATTTCTCTCTCCTCTGCACAAATTTCTATCACACAGTTTTTACTTTATTATTCTACGTGTCAGTCAAACATGGCAAACCTTTAAGGGACGGAGGGAGTAATAAGTTTAGTATATATATTATCAGTTGTTTAGTTTCACCGTGAAATTAGAAGATACACAGTAAATTAAATTGTTTCCAATAACCTTTTAAAAAATCATTGTAATTCTATTATGATAGAGGTGATGTGTGTTCCAGTGTGCTCGGGAATGGGGATTTTCTCATTGGGTAACTCTTTTCATGTTTAAACGTTTTGTGAAGGGACGGAGGGAGTATTACTTCTGAGTTTTGTGTACCTACTTTAGCTAACAAAGCAGGGACTTGTGTGGCGGTGGATTAATTATCATTTCATTAAATATGTTTTCAAGCTTATGATTTATTTCTTTACTTTTTTTGGTGAAGGCACTTCCATTCATGCACTCTTTGTTGGATAGTTTTAGTTTCAAAGTTTGTTGACACTAAATGATGTCTTTTTGCATTCTTGTATTTGACACTAAATGATGTCTTTTAGAATACTTGTAGTTGACACTAAATGATGTCTTTTTGCACCCGATGAGGTACGTTATTTTGGAGTTGCTGCTGGTAGCTAAGGATGACTAAATATTAATGTTGATGTTTCATAATGCCAGGAAGAGAAGCAGAGTGGGGTTTTCTGATCGAGACTGAGATTCTTTGTATCTGCAAGTGCTATACCTTTGCGAGTGTAGCAAAGATCCTCATAGTACCTGAAACTAATTGGGTGCAGTTATAAGAGAGAGAGAGTCGGCCTCCATTTAGCTAACTTGTGGACGATGTGTGGGACATGAAAATCTGTTTTTTAGTAGGTGACAACTCCGGTACCTATTTAAAAAATGGGGGTACCGTACTTATCACTCACATGATTGGTCCAAATCATTATATCATTTTGAATTTAGATTTAAATAATTCAACTGCAACATTCTGATTCGTCCATGTGGACAAAGGTATGGTACCTTAAGGGTACCATAGAATCTACCTTTTTAGTATTGACCGAAGATGAAAACTTAGTTTGTTAGTATTTCTTTTAAGCATACTAAGGGCATCTCCAACAGTTTACACCATTTTGTACACTAAAATGGTGTAAACATCACATCATACAGTATTTTATCTCCAACGGTTTACACCATTTTCATCACCAAAAAGGAATATTCCCTTTTTATTCTTTTTACTAACTTTTTACCATTGTTCTATTTAAGTATCTAATTATCATATATTTATACATTAGCCCCTCATTTAATATTTTGACATTTCACACATTATTTCACACATACAAACTAAAATACACCATTTTAATACTTGTATGTATTTTCACGCATTTCACTAATTAAAATACAATAGTCAATATTTCAGATTGTTGTTGTATAAGGATGTTGTTGTATTTTTTATAAACTTTATTTATAATATTGTGTTATTTAAATGTTATTATATTTTTTTATCAAATTAATTGTTTTGATTGTTGTTGTATAAGGTTGTTTTTACTTGGACTATAATTTGTTTCAGATCAGATCAGACCGGATTATACCAAACTTGGGTAGTTATAAAAATACAAAGAAATCAGACCAGGCCACATCAATTCAGATCAGACCAGACCAAATTAGACCGGACCAACAAATTTCAGTCCAAGTAAAACTTCCTATTTTGTTGTTTTAAACATGGGTCAAAACTATAATAACCAAAACTTTGGGTCACATTTGAAAGAAAAAAATTACAAAAAGTTGATGGTGCAACAAATGGCGCACGCCATATATGGCGGAAACCATTCCCCCCTCCCCTATTTTGGTGTAATGGTGTCAAGTTTGGTGCTATTGTTGGAGCATTTTTTTTGCCAAATACACCATTTTGGTGTCAAGTTTGGTGCTCGTTGGAGATGGCCTAAGAGGGTTATTAATTGTCTTAGTTAGAGTAGCACCATCAATGTCTAATGAGTGCAGTTCATTGATCCTCCCAGTTGTATTCTCTGAAATCTGAATTGTATTCTGTATAATATATATATATATATATATATATATATATCATGATATTATTAATGATAATTTTCTACATAGTTGTGACTTGTGACAAATGATTTGTAACTTTATGTATTTTGAATGATGACAAATGTTGATAATTGTCATTTTAAATGCAGTTTTGATGACTAATTTTGTTACCAAATAAAGCAGTTGTTAAAAATGACACGTGTACCCAATTTTATGACACTACGTTTTTATCATGTACACTTTACAATGACGAACTAAATAATTTAATTATGACAATTTTAGTGTCACCGCTTCAATGAGAATAATGTATGGTTGGACTCGGGCCGGGAGGCCTGATCCGGAACCGGCCCGGGACCGGTACTGTTCCGGCCTGGCCCGAACGGGTGGCCCGGTCAGTGACCGGTCCGGGTAGACCCGATCCGGTGGGTTTCCGGTCCGGGCTCGGGTTACCCATAACAAGGCACGGGCCCGGTTCGGGCCCAATGTTTTTTTTTTTGGTTTTTTTCATTTGTTTGGGCTCCACCGGGTTGGGCTTGATGTTTAGGAGGGGTTTGGGGTTTGGGGGGTGGGGGGATGAGGGGGGGGGGGGGGTCAGGGATGGGTAGCTAAGCAAAAAAAAAAAAAACAAATCCGAGGCCCGGCCTGGCTCGGACCGGACGCGGTGGCTACCCGAGCCGGTCCCGGGTCCAGCTATATAGAACCGCCGGCCCGGGCCCGACCCGGCCCGAGTCCAACCATAGAATAATGTGAATCGTCACTAAAAGTTCTCTTTTAATAACTATTTAAGATTTGTCATTTATTATCATTAGTATAGATGATGAAATTCATAATAACATGACAAAATTATTGATATAAAAGTGACACGTTCATCGTCACTAAGAGTGATCAATAATGGTGACAAGGAATAAGATTGTCACTAAAAATGTTATATAGTGATGAATCCCAACATTGTCATATAACACCTTTTGCCACGGAGCTACGGTGATGATCATTGTGACGCACATGAATCGTCATATAAATGTTTTACTGAGAAATAATGAAGTTTACATGACAATATTTTCCGTCATGTTTTATCAAATTTCTTGTAGTGAATCTCATCGCATTTATTACTACTATAAATAGCTGTCCCTTTCCCCTTTGTAACACACGACTTGAATACTCATTATAGATTCGAATTCTTTATCTCTCTTACTTATTTTGCTCTGACTTCTCTCTAAGTTATTCCCCGCAATAACCCCTCGGATAAGCTACCCCCGGGTACATTATCCATCAGCAATGCATTTGCAATTGCTCATAAACCTTCTATTTGTTTTCCTGAAGTAAACATATATTATTTTATGAGCCGAATTGTATAAATAAAGGTGTTGGAAGCTTTTAATTAAGCGTCTATCCAAACCTAGAAACAACACATGAGAATCTTTTGATTTGAATTGTGTTTTGATTATATAATAAATAAAATATCTAGTCATTATATTGTGAACACCTGAAGTGTTTGTATACTAATTTGAGATCCTAGAAGGATCAAAACACGTCTCATTTAAGTTTTATGGATAAATATTTGAGAATACTCGATTATTAGATGTTTGATGTGCATATGTGCATTAACACCAAATTTGATGGTCTTGAAATACACATTGCAAAATCATGAATTTAAACAACTGCTTCTCCTTAGAAACTCTTGAACAATTTGGTTACAAATGTCCATCAGATATGTATAAATAATGATGGAGGTTTTGTATACTAAAGATTTTTATTAGCCGGAGATTTTCAAATTATATGGAGTTGATTGAGGTGAAACAATTAATTGGTCTAGAAGATCGAGTCCTATTCTTTTTTCTTTGTCAAGTTTTTCCCAAAGGGTTTTTCATGGCAAAAGGTTTTTAGGTAATTTGTGATTTTTAAAGAGTGAGAAACATACATAACATTCAAAAGACTATTAACCTCTAGAAGAGTGATTCTAATATCAATTCAGAATATAGTACCCTGAAGATCTTTATTAGTCCTTATGAGTTCAAGCAATTTATTGGTCCGGAAGATCAAATGCAATTGTACTCTTTTTCCTTAACCAAGTTTTGTCCCACAAGGTTTTCTTGGTCAAAGGTTTTAACGAGGCACTTTGTGATTCTCAAACAACATATTATGATATATAAGATCTTGGAATATTATTATTCTCCATAAAAGTGAATTTAAAAGTAATCCAGAAGATTAGGCCCTGAAGGCAAATGATTGCACTCTTTTCCTTTTCTAAGTTTTTCCCATGTGGTTTTCTTAGTTAAAGGTTTTTAACGAGGCGGTTGTGTAACACATTGTTTTACATATATGTACTCTTTTCCTTGATTGGTGTTTTTCCCAAAGGGTCTTTCCAACAAAGTTTTTAATGAGGCATACACAGTACAAATATTGCTACAAGAAAACTTGGAGAGAAATCTTGAAGTGATGTAATCAACAGGAGGAGTATATATGCATTGCACTCTTTTTTCCTTTACCAAGGTTTTGTCTCATTGGGTTTTCCTCGATAAGGTTTTTAACGAGGCGGCGTCACTAACACATATAAAGAGAATAATGTATATTTTTCTTGTAATTTATTTTATTTATCAATATACATCCAAGGGGGAGTGTTATGTAATACTACGTATATGGATGCTCATTAGTCCCTTGCCCAGGTCCATATATCCGGCTCATCTCATAAGTGTAATCCCTAGCTCCCTCCTGTATATATCCAATGATGTGAAAGAAGAATGTGTGTTTTTGGGTCCAGTTTAGAACAATCATCTCCAAAGTTAGGGATAAGGATGTTTTTACTTGGACTGTAATTTGCTGGTCTGGTCTGGTCTGGTTTGATCTGGTCTGGTCTGGTCTGATTTCTTTGTATTTTTATAACTATCCAAGTCTGGTCTGGTCTGGTCTGATCTGGTCTGGTCTGGTCTGGTCTGAGAGGAATTACAGTCCAAGTAAAAATATCCTAAATATAAAGCGGGCAAATACGCAGGCCTGGTTTGTGGTAGTATATTGAGGCAATTCAGCCCGACCAGTTCCAGTGTATTCAGATCATGTTTTTGCTAAGTTTGGTTCCAAGTACGGAGTATTTTTTTCATGTGGACTTATTTCAGTTTGAGACCGGACCAAATTTAGAGACCGTTTGGTAACACTGCTTTTCAGTTTATCAGACTTATCGATCAACTTTTTCACCAAAAACATGTAACATTTGTTTTCGCGAGCTGAATGTTGTGAAAATAAGAAAAAGTAAGGTTGAAATTACTTTTTGGCTGTATTGGCTGACGTTATCATAGATGACCATTTTAGCTATTTTTACATACATTTTTTTCTTTATTTTATTAATAAAATATATTTTAAATTTTTTTCTTAAATCAACAGAATCAGCTAATGCAGTCACTTCAGCAGAATCAGTCGAATTAGCCGAATTTCGTGTTACCAAAGGGGCTCTTAAATTGATCATATTAGACCAAACTATTTTATGGGACCGAGATAGTATTTTACAAGTTGAAGTCATTCCCACAACAGTCCATGAGTATACTGGTAAATTTTACATCTATTCATGGATATCATTATAGTATCATACTTCCTATGTCCCTCTAACTTTGTCTCGTTTTACCTTTTCTGTCCATCCCATTATGTTTGTCTCATATCATATTTGGTAATATTTGGGTGGTTACAATTCATTCCTACGTTATTCACATTTTATTCATTCAATATCAATTACACAATTCCACTTTTTTTTAAAAGTTGTCTCACATCCCTTTGTGCCAAATATAGCGGGACAAAGGCAGTACTACTTTACTCGGTTGGAACACACTTTTCAGCCGTGTTGTCCAAAGAAGTCATTTCTCTGATATTTTCCCCCAAGTCATTTACAAATAATTACAATGGATCAGTGTTCTCAAAGGCGGCATAAGGCGGGGCCTAGGCGCACCTAGGCGTGAGGCGGCGGAGAAACGCCTCGCATTGTAGAAAGGCGTGGAAAATGCGGTCAACTCAAAAGTTGACCACCAAAAGCGTGAAAAGACGAAGCTTAGGCGTGCTTAGGCGTGAAAAGGCGAAAGTTTTTCATATGAAATATTTTTTGCAAATAAAAACTGATTAAATTTAAAAATAAAGTACTTTTAAACATGTTATATATGGAATCTAATATGGAATAGTAAACAACAACAATGTATCCTTTTGTATTTGCACTTTTTATAATATATTAGGCTCAATCTTGTATAATATATTTTGGACATTTATTTTCTTCTTCATATATCAGTATTAAAATAATAATTATCAATAGAAATCTAAAACGCTTTTTCCCGCCTAGGCTTCGCCTATTCCCGCCTAGGCT